TTATTACTACTTTTACAAATCTGAATCTGTAGGGGTAATAAGCTGGTGACATAAGAGAAAGCTAAGTACTAAAACCATCATTAACATCAAGAATCATTGAATGTACTTCAAAGTAGCAATTCATTATGCAAATCTGGAAATAGCAGATCTTCTCAAGATACTTTCAGGACATGAGTAATACTCAACATTCCTTTGTCTTTCCTTACAGCAGGCTTTGGAAGAAGCTTTGACTGAGTAAAGGAAGGGACACACGAATGATTCCATCTGTATTGGTTCTGATTTTCAGACATTAGAGCAAAGGGGTACTTTTGTATTTGTTTTTAGTTTGGATCATTTCAGAGGTGTGAGAAAGAGTGCCTAAAACAGTTATTTGCCAGACTGAACCAGGATAACGTCTGGCTAGCAGCAAGAGGAGAATCAGATTGGGGAAGGTTAGAAAAAGCTTAAACCGCATCTGGTGTAATGGGGCAGCTGTCATTGAGACTGCCCAGAGGATTGCTGAGCAGGGCCCAATGTTTGTAAGGAATATGGGCCAGATGACACCTTTTATTACATAGGTGAGCAGAGTAGGAGGCAGATAGAGGCTGTTAGGCACGGTATACTACATGGAACCCCAGCTGTGATACAGCAGGGAATGCACTCTCCTAACTTGATGCAGCAACACACTTCCAGTATTTGAAAGAAATAATTTAGCATGTTTCAAAGATACATTAAACAGTACTATCAAGTGAGGTAGTCACTCAGCTTATTGACAAGTTTTGGACTGAAGTCAGGAGCCGCTGATGAGAAAATACAAATTCTATAAAATTGGCCAGTGTGGTGAAAAACTGTCCCCAAAACATTACATTTCTCCTCTCTGCTTCCCAGTTTTTGTCATCATATCAGTTTCTCATTAACTTGATTCTTTTTTGTGGCACTCATGCTGCTTTTTTTACCATATCTGTATCATCTTCATCTTCATCTCTGTTTCTTTTCATTTTCTTTCTGTCTAACCTCCCCTTTATCTTTAATGCCTCTCCAATTTAATCCACCGTCTGTGTCTTTCCTTAAAAAGAATTTGTATGTCTGGCTTTATGACTCATAATGTGTAAATGTACAAATGGATTTTCAGCTGTCTTTTAGCAGCATCATTTATGCACCTCATCAAGTTCACCTATAGATATCTGTAAAATTGACAGGATTTTTTACTTTTGTGTCACCTCAGACAGATTCAGACTGATAGAGATAAGAAAGATTAATCAGTGTTTCACTTCAAAAAATACACAAGAACAAATAATTTCTCATTGTTACATTCTGAAGAGAAGGATTGTGTGATGTGGAATTTCTCTTTTTCCTATTCAACACAGACAAGAATTATTCTCTTCTATATCTTGTCCTTGGTAATGTAGTGTTTTGTAATTATTTCACAGGGTTTTCAAGGAAAAACTGGTCCTCCTGGTCCTGGTGGTGTTGTTGGGCCTCAGGTACATCATTCAATTTCATAGTAACTTAACAAGTCCAACGTTTAATGGTTATATTATGGCTAAGGCAGTTGCTACTTGTGTATTAAAAGAACTATATTGATGGTTGTATTAACTTTTGTAACAAATGCTGCATAACAATTTTAGAAAGGTGTACTTAATAATCTTCAGTGATTCCATGAAATATACAAATGATGCGGTTACCTTTCCACCTCCATTTTGTATTTTTTTTTCATGAGAACTCAAGGAGGCAGAGTTGTCTACCATGAAATAGTTTAGAAAGAAGAAAATGACATGTTCACGTAGCATGAGCAGCGGGTCAAAGGACGTGATCCTGCCCCTTTACTCTGCTCTCGTGAGACCCCATTTGCAGCACTGTGTGCAGTTCTGGTGTCATCAACGTAAGAAGGACAAGATGCTGTTGGAGGAAGTCCAGAGGAGGCCATGAGGATGGTCATGGGCTGGAGCACATCCTGTATGAAGACAGGCTGAAAACACTGGGGCTGTTCAGCCTGGAGAAGAGAAGCTGCGTGGAGACCTCAGAGCAGCTTCCAGTGTCTGAAGGGGGCTACAAGGATGCTGGAGAGGGACTCTTCATCAGGGACTGTAGCAATAGGACAAGGGGTGATGGGCTCAAACTGAAACAGGGAAAGTTCAGGTCAGATCTAAGGAAGAAGTTCTTTATTGCAAGGGTGGTGAAGCACTAGAACGGGTTGCCCCCAAAGAAGTAGTAAATGCTCCATCCCTGGCATTGTTCAAGGCAGGGTTGGACAGAGCCCTGGGTGACATTAGTCTAGTGTGATGTGTCCCTGCCCATGGCAGGGCATTGGAACTAAATGATCTTAAGGTCTTTTACAACTCAAACCAGTCTATGATTTTATGATTCTCTGTGACTTTCTTGTCAGAGGCCAAACTTCAGTCACTTTTAGATTGTGGATGGATTCACTGTCAAAACTGCATTATTTGTAATAAAATCAAGCATTTGGATTGCATGAGCTTTTTTAGGTAATTTTTTTTTTAGTGAAAATTTTCAGTTAGTGAATCTGAAGAGATATCTTTCAACATTTCCACATTCCAATTCATATTACTCAGAAAAACAACAGTACAGATAATGTTTCAAGACAAGCATAGTGCTTTTCCTTCCTGTGTCCTTTTTGTAACCTCCCCCTATACATGGATGCACACTGTGTTTTACGGCTTCATTGCTTAAGGAGCAAGGATGGCATTTTACTCTTTGGAAGCTGTACAGATGTGTCTGCAGGCAGAATGCAGTTCAAGGTTTATTTTATAGGACAAAGATACTTTGTAAGTCAGCTTTGCCTAGAGGGAAGGGTGAGGAATGTATGCTAACCAATGGTAATACTATTTTGTAACGGATACTCGTAGCAGCTGAATGTTAAGAATCTGCTCCTCCCCACCTTCCACCCCCAAGACATGCATTACCTTGAGATGACTGACTTTTTACTTTTGTGCTTAGGGTCCTACTGGTGAGACTGGCCCAATTGGTGAAAGAGGTCATCCAGGTCCTCCTGGTCCACCAGGTGAACAAGGCCTCCCAGGTGCTGCAGGAAAAGAAGGTGCTAAGGTATGATGTTGCTTTGGGAAACAAATTGGAAGGGACAGGTAAATTGCTGACAGTCTCATATTTTAAATCATCCTGCAGAACATGCAGAATAAAATCAGAACATACAGTATAATATCACAGTTGGTACATTTCACCTAGAGAGATTTTGAAGACTGGAGAATTCCAGTTTTGGAGCTGTGTCTGCTTACACTGAAATAATGAGAATTCCCTTGAGCCAATAATATGTATTTTTGTCATAAAAAAACAGTTTACGTATATGTCAAGGTTTAATTCCAGCTGGCAACTTAAGCCCATCACACAGGGATGGGGGAGACAATCAGAAGAGTAAAAGTGAAAAAACTCACAGCTTGAGGTAAAGACAGTTTAATAAGTAAAGCAAAAGCCATGCACACAAGCAAAGCAAAACAAGGAATTAATTCACTTCTTCGTAATGACAGGCAGGTGTTCAGCCATCCCCAGGAAAGCAGGGCTCCATCATGCATAACTTGAGAAGGAAAATGCCATAACATGCCACATCCCCTCCTTCCTTCTTCCCCCAGCTTTATATGCTGAGCATGATACCATACGGTATGGAATATCCCTTGGGTCAGTTGGGGTCAGCTGTGTCCTCTCCCAGCTCCTTGTGCATCCATCAGCCTGCTTGCTTGTGGCAGGTGTGAGAAGTAGAAAAGGCTTTGGCTCTGTCTAAGCACTGCAGTAAGGGAAAGACCCCTGTGTTTGCAACACTGTTTTCAGCACAAATCCAAACCACAGCCCCATACTAGCTGCCATGAAAAAAAAAAACAGGTATCCATCCAAAAGCAGCCCACTATGCATGGTAATGTAGTAGAAATACATAGTAATGACATGTTCATACTAAGGCATTGTTGTGGACATTGTAATTTAAAGTAGGAGGTTTACTACTAGCTAAAAGGCAAATTTAACCCCTTACTGTTCGGCCACCATTGTGGCACAAGACAAATGCTGCTTATCTTAGTTGTTACGTAGTAATTTTTAATCTTATATTTTTAGTGAGCATTGTCAATTTTTAATGAATGTATCTTTAAACATATTTTTATGGATTGCGGTGATTGTCACTATTTATATTGTATAACTAATACTGTATTTTTAATTTAACCATAGTGACAGACTATTGTATTGGGTGAATTGGTGCAGGCATAATCTTTTTTGTCATTACTATAACTAGGATCTGGTATTTCATTTTCATCATTCATTTAATGACTAATATAAGCATTTTAAACATTCTTTTAATCAAAATGTAATATGTTTCTAAGGGTGACCCAGGCCCTCAAGGCATTCCTGGGAAAGATGGACCAGCAGGTCTTCGCGGTTTCCCTGGAGAGAGAGGCCTTCCAGGTGCTCAGGTATGATGTAAGCTAGAACAATTGACATGATGTTTCTAAATACAAGAAATCAATGGATTAACTCTTTATTTTCATGGAATATAATAGGAGAACAAACATCAAGCATCCCACATTGTTAAGTATCATTGGCTATATAAGTAAAAAAACATTTATTCAGTTTCTTGTCTTTGGATTTCTACATTCTTCTATTTATGTATTGCAGAAATAACCCTTGAACTTTCCAGTGTGAGAGAAAAGCTTTTTTTTCCCCCTTTTTTTCATTTTTTTAGGGTCCAGCTGGTTTGAAAGGAGGGGAAGGCCCACAAGGCCCACCTGGTCCACTTGTAAGTAAACATAATAACTTTATGGAAATAGAAACAGTATTATGTAGTAACCTTTTTTCTTCTTTACATGCTGTGCTGTTTTCATCAACACAGTCTGTAAACCAGCAGATAGATGTAATTTGAAGTGATCAATAATTATTTTCTACTAGTTACACACTAACAAACATTCAAGGAGTGTGAAGGTTATGAACTTCTGAAGCCTTCTGCTAGCAGGAGGTATGGGATTTATTTATTGCTCAGTACTTGGCACTAACTCCTTATTGAGATGAAGGAGGTCTTCCATAGTGGAAAATCTATGGATAGTCAGTAGTGGATTCATGCTGTTGTGGTGGGTTTACTTGACTGCACACCAGGTGCCGACCAAGCTGCTCTACCAGTTCCTCTTCTTACCTGGATGGGAGGAGAAAGAATACAACAAAAGGCTCATGAGTTAAGATGAAGACAGGGAGATCGCTCAGCAATTACCCTTACAGGCAAAACAGACTCGACTTGGGGAAATGAATTTAACTTATTACTGATCAAGTCAGAGGAGGAGAATGAGAAATAAAAACAGATCTTAAAAACATCATCCCCACACCCCTCCCTTCTTCCCAGGCTGAACTTTGTTCCCAAATTCTCCATTTCTTCCCCCAAAATGGCACAGGGGGACAAGGAATGGGGGTTGTGTTCAACACACATTCTGTCTGCTGTTCCTTTCTTCTCATGCTCTTCCCCTGCTCCAGAATGGGATGACACCCACAGCAGACAGTCTTCCAGGAACTTCTCCCACAGGGGTCCTTCCCATGTGCTGCAGTTCTTCATGATCTGTTCCAGTGTGGGTCCCTTCCACAGGGTGCAGCCCTTGAGTAACAGACTGCTCCAGCATGGTTTCCGTGTGGGGTCACAGCTCCTGCCAGCAAGCCTGCTCCAGTATGGGCTCCTTTGCCCGCAGGGCCACAGGACAAGGGTAATCCAGGAGCTTCCTCCAAAACAGGCTTCCCACTGGGTCATAGCCTCCTTTGGGCACCAGCCTGCTCTGGCATGGGGTCCTCCATGGGCTGCAGATGGATGTCTGCTCCCTTGTTAACCTCCATGGGCTGCAGGTGGATATCATCTCCCTTGTAACCTCCCCAGGCTGCAGATGGATACCCACTCCACAATTAACCTCCATGAGTTGCAGGGGGACAGCCTGACTCTCCATGGTCTTTGCCCACAGTCTGCAGGGAATTTCTGCTCTGGTGCTTCCTCCCCGCTTTCTTCACTCGCCTTGGTGTCTGCAGGGTTGTATGTCTCACACATTCTCACTCCTCTCTCTGATTGCAATTGGTCTTGCCCAATCTTTCTTTTTTTCCCTCCTTCTTAACTATGTTATCCCAGAGGCACTGATAGGGTTGGCCTTGGCCAGCAGCTGGTCCATCTCGGAGCCAGCTGGCATTGACCATTGGTATTGGACACAGGGGAAGCTTATCGCATCTTCTCACAGAAGTCACCCTTGCAGCCCTTCCTCCCACCCCCCAGATCTTGCCACATAAACCCAATATGTCTTTGTTCCTTTGTGAAGTGCAGTTCACATATGCAGTTGACCCGCATAATGTTAAAAAATACTGCTGGTGTTGTGCAGTTGCATAAGCTAGCTTTTAAATATGTGCATCCACTACATTTGCATCCTTACTACTGCATCTAATATTTGGAACCATATACTGGCCTATGTGTAAGGTTTGATTCTTTTTAACTCATTGTGAAACAGATTGGTTTTGTTTAGATTTGGATAGCCAAACTTTCCAGCCATAAAGAATAAAACTGATAAATATTCTCCTCTTCTTTAGTAATTTCTGGATGATTGGGAAATGTCACCCAGCCTATTTCTTTCCACCACTGTTTTACAGTTTCTTACTTATTTGATATCTTAAAAAAAAAAAGCAAACCAAAAAAACCAACAAAAAACAATCCCAAAAAAGTTTGAAGACAGTCCTCTCAGAATCTGTTGAGATTGTTCACTCAGAGTTTGGAGATCTCAACATATTTAAAGAAGAGAACAGAACTTAATCCTGTTTTGAAGTGCTTTAAATTTGGTACAGAGAATGACTTGGGGATGATTATTTTTGCCAGAGCAAAAAGTTTAGATTCTGCAGTAAAAGGGGGAAATTGTAGAGCAAGCTTAAGAATTTTGGTAAAGTATAATGAGCACTGTAAAAAAAAAAATCTTATTTTGGAAAATAGTAACATGCAACTCGAAATCTTCCATAGAAATCCGTGGGAAAATAGATCATGAAAGAATATAAGAATGGCTTATTAACAATATCATTTCATGAATTTGAAAAGAAATGATGCATTATACGATTGCTTTAGAGTTTTAGAAGATATGATGATCAAAACCATCCATTGCTTTCAAGACTTTATCTTGACTATACTTCCTGAGTGAAGCATACTTATAGTAAGGATCAGTGAAACCATTAAAAGTTATGTTTGCTTGGCTAATAACAGCTATGTAAAATCATGTCATTCAGTAATATTCCCTCTCAGTACTTTAAGCTCAACATAGGCATAAAAATGTATTTGCCACCTTTTTGTAGTTACGGTTTTTTCTTTCTGATTATGATGGAAAAGCAGTGATATGTACTCATTCCTCAAAACAGTAAATTATTCTCCCTTGGACGGTGTGACTAGGCATTTCCTAGATGGTCATGTGCTCAAGAGTTTTTTTACATTTAGGTTCTTGTTTCTTGTTTCAACTTTTATTTATACCTCTGCTGCCTTTTTCACTTCAGTTTCTGATAGTCATCTGCTGGAAGTATTTGAAGTAGGGTATGCTTAAGTTGTCTGTTCTTTGTTGTGATTTTTTTATGCAAGTTTTACAAGGATGCACTGGTATTCAAAACATGGTACAGTTATTCCCAAATGTCAATTGTGTAGATTTTGACAGTCATCTTGTCAACTTATTTCTTTCATTCAGTGCAATTGTAGTAAAAAAAAAATATCAGCACAGCTATTCCCGTTAGACAAAAAAGTGATGCAATTCTGTGTATTTCAACAGTAAAGCTCTCTTCCGTCCCTGCGAATCATATTGAGATAGGAATGCATGAAATGAGGAAGAAAAACCCAAACCATAGTATAAGGTTCTTGGTTTTGGATTTTTTTCTACACTATTGGAAAAGATCTGCTGTAGCGCACTTTTAAGCTTTACTTCTTTATTTCTTAATACTTGGTAGTCAAATTCTTAAAATTAATTATTTAATTCATAATGCCTTTAAGCTGTTATTCTTTAAATTGAGAACTTGCATTTTTGCTTTACAGTTCTCCTTAACACCATGCAGTATGTATACATTCCTGAAAGGCACTAAAATAGGGTATCTGGGAATGGAATGGGATGGGGTGGAATGGGATGGGGTGGAATGGAATGGAATGGAATGGAATGGAATGGAATGGAATGGAATGGAATGGAATGGAAGCTAGCTGGGAGACCATGCCACCCCATCTGTTAGAAGAAAAGATGAATCAAAATCAAGAAAGCATAGACCAGAACAATTTCTTCAATGTAAAGGTCATGTCTGGATTTTTTTGAAGGAGGCCTTAAGGCTGTACCGACCTCTCAAGCAGATAGTTCAGGTGCAGTGAACCAGAACTCTTCTGAGCATGCACAAACCAGACAGCACAAATGTACTTAACATCAAGTGTACTTGACATTTAACACACCCTGCTTTTCCAGGCAGGATGCCCACATAGTAGTTGTACCACTACTATCACAGTTTGTCATTAATATGCATCACATAAGTTTGTGAGGTGTTTCTGAATTTAAATTCAGATGGTCCACGTTTTTTGAATTCTGTAATGGGGTGTGTATAGTTTGGTATTTTAGTTCAAAACATGAGAGCCTTTTTGAGGTGAATGTCTCAATCATCCCCATTTACCATCCTTTGGTTCAGATCATGGAGGTCTCTTGGAGCTCATGATCAGTATTCCATTAATGAGAAACTAAATGGAAGAGAAATTCCAGGATCACTTCTAATACCCACTAGATAATGGGAGTTCAGTGCCAGACAAGTTATTTGCAGTATAGTCCAGAAATACAGAGTATGGATGTCAGGAGCCCAGTACCAACAGCTTCTTCACTTTATAAGGCCATTGCTGTTGGGGTCACAGTTCCTGCTAAGGTAAACATAGTCATAGAAAGGTTCACTTAGGAAGCTCAGAATTTTTTGCATACTGTTTTCCCAGTCTTTGAGAAATAGATGTAGTGATAGCAGGAATTGTAAGCAGAGTGGAAAGAGAGTTTGAAGGGTAAACAGTTCATTGTTTTTGAAGTATACCTTGAGTTCACTATAGCACAAGCAGTGCCCCTTGAGCCACAAAGAGCACCAAGCTGCCCTGTGAGTACTCCAGAAGTCTTCAGTAGGATTTGTTTCCTATTTCATCTTTAATTACTAACTTGTTATATTGAAATTGTTTTTCAGACCAAAAAAGGTGCAGAGATGCCCTTCATACTGGGTTTCTGTGCATCTGTGAGGACAACAATTAAACCACAATAGCTTGGGGTTCTTTCACAGTATCTCATAGCAGACCGTGAGCATCAAATAGTCCTAAAATATTTTCCCATCTATTTTTAGCCAACAGAGGATAGACACAGGAGTGTCATTATAATGGAGTCTTCATTTGCCATTTATTTATAATAGGAAAAGAACTCATGCCATTGGATCATTTTCCTCCAATTCTCTGTCAATACCAATTGCTTCTAACTAGCATATATAGCCAATTACAAGCTTTTTTGGCTAATGCATGCATCTGCAAGCATACCAAACAAATGACCGCTCCAAATACTGTGCATGCCAATTACTGTGTTTAGAGGAATTTGAACAAAAGAAGGAGATGCATGAATGTACTACAAAGCAATGGGGTTTTTTTTTGTGTTTTTTTTGGTTTCATTTTGGTGGTTTGTTTTTTTTTGTGTGTGTGTGTTTGTTGTGTTATATTGGGTTTTGGGGGGGGTTGTTTGGGGTTTTTTTAACAGTTCTCTTTTATGTGCTATTTTTGTCTTCTGTTTGTTTTCTCCCCTTCTCATACTACTGTGTGGAATGCTGAATGCTAATGAGAGAAAACTCTTTGGAATGTCAAGCAGTCATTTTTCATTAGTTTATTTGGAATAGGATGCCTAAATTGGGCTCTGAATAAGCCAGCTGTAGGCTACCCAATTATCAGCACTGAGTTATCTAGCACTAATCTTCCTCTCTTTGATAACATTTTTCATTCATGAGAATCTTCGCTTGTTAGACAGTTTGTTAATCAGTGAAAAGTATTGCTTCTACTATGTAGTATATACAATAGCTATAGTTACATATCTCCTCACAAAAAGTGAGAAAAAACATGGTTACTAATGAGTTTAGTCTGTATAAGAGAAATGCAAGAGAAAGCATGACACTTCCATTATGTTTTAATTAACAAATAGATTCAAGACTGTGGGTACCCCTGCAAGACCACAGCTTAACAAGGAGTTTAATAATATAACAGGATTGTTTCAGAGTGGGACAGAGAGGCAATAAAGGGTAATAAACATTGAAAAATAGAACAGACTTAAGAAGCTGCCTAAAATGCTTGTATGAGTTGTCACTGTAATTTAAAGTGTTTTGCTTTGATCAGAGGCCATTCTCACAAAGACATGAGAGGATCCTTGAAAACAGAAGGTATAGTTTCTGTTCATAACTCATGTTGATTTTCAGCATAACAAATAAAAATGATGCAAAGATAGAGATGAAAAGTTGAACTAGAAATTATGGCCCCTGTTAGTGTCTGCTGTCTGATACAAAAAAAATCTATGACTTATTTAGATTTTTTTCCTCTCTATTCTTGCATCCTACTGAGGAGGTGACCTAAATTTGTTTAGCTTACAAGACATGACAAGATCAGAGACCCTGGTAGCATATCTGCAGGGTACAGCATTTTTCCTGTTGAATTCACTGAAGTCTTAGAAACTAAACCAACAGAAATAGGACTAAAACTTAGGCATTCACCCTGACCTAAATAAATAAATAGACCAACACTTGGAAGGATAAAGGCATCTGTGATTCCTGCACAAATAATATTTGTTGAACACTCACACAAAATCAGATTTTACTGAGTTAATTTGCAAAAATATTTGCAGCAACCATTCATCGTTCTCTTCTGCCACTGTTACCTGAAGGGAAAAGCCCTTTCTTATGGTCAGTCCAAGAAGAGTTCATCATGATTAAAAGTAAAAACTTGGGCCCTCATAAATGAAAGCATCTTAAAATTCCAGTGTTACAAGAGCCAGCAAATTTGATCATTCTTAAACATGAAATAAAAACTTGTGTGTTCAGGGCCTCCAGCTACACCAGCTATTAGAAAAGATTCCAAGTATCACTCCACTTCCAGTGTGACAGCTGAAATGTGAAATTACCAGTTACTTTAAGGTGTTACAAACTGTCTTGTAGGTGTCAAGCTGAAAAGCTAGAGAAATATTACTGTACAGTAAACAAAACTTCAGCAGTGCTCTATTGATGCAAAAATGGTGAATTATTTGAAACACAGAACCCAAAGATGCTGCCAAAGTGTGAAAATACAGAAATACAGATGAGAGTACAGCTCTTTGCTTCTCAGTTTTCAGTGAGCCCACAAATTTCAAGGTTAATTCTGTTGCTGTTATTAATTTTTTTTTTTTTCCCATTAGACTTTCAAGCACAAGGCTAGCTCCCATGCAGAATATAATGGAACAGAATACCCCACTGTCTTTGTTCCCATGCTCTCCTATATGCAGGGCACAGGAAGGATGTACAGCATCTTGAATCCTCAGGAAGTATGAGGACTGGCAAAACTGGATTTCCTGTCAGAGTTGTTGGCCAGTGATGGTGTAAAAAAACACAAAGAAGCTCTGTCATTCTCCATACTCTGCCTGTACTCAGGAGAGCATCATGCTTCTGTCTCCCTGCACATGCTGACTCTTGTGGAGACATAGGAAGAAGCAGGTTAGATGGCAGTTAACCTCTGTCAAGGCACAGGAAGTTTTCGCCTCTGCTGTCAGGAATTCATTTCACACTTGGTCAGAATCTGCTTGTGTGATCAAGGAGGTATTAGGAATTCAAGTGTAAATGTTTTTTCCTCCTGGTTGTTTTCTTTCCATAATGTGCCTCCAAACAGGTGTCCATATCTTTGGTTGTGTGTTACAGAGGACTTTATTGGTAGATCACTATTTGGAAATTAACCCAGCTTGCTGAAATGATTTAAAATCAGCACTCCACATTGTGGCTTTTAACTAACTGATAAACAAATATGGGTAGGCCAAAATTTAACTTTTTGATTCTGAAATTCCTTTTATTTGAGTAGAAGTTCTAATCTGTACTGTTACCTCTTCCTTTCTGTCCTTTTAGGAAGATTTTTTAATACCAGAGCACCTTGTTTTCATTTCCTTTTTCCCCTTCAGCACTACATAACAGCATATGCCATCTGTACTCTTAGAAAGTGTAAGGAGAGGAAAAAACGAGTCCACCCTAGGTACCTCTTTTTTTTTTTAGAGCCGTGCAGATTTTTACATATCTACAGAGTATAGACAGGTATATAAATATACAGAGTCATTCTTTCCATTTCAGGTATACCCTATATACCTAAATTCTCTCCATATAGGCATACTGTATATACCTATATATATAGGCATATATGTAGAGAGAGATATTCTCTTGATTTTGTCTAGTTAGCTTAATCCAGAAGAAATCATAAAGGTACGGCTCAAATGATAAATGGTTATGGAGCTTGGTTCTGTGGCAGATTGACATATTTAAAGGAAAGGTTGGCTCTTTATGGAACAGCCATTAGCCCTACACTACTTCAAGTGAAAGAACTGAGAGGGAATGTAGAAACTAAATTTTTATTTATGGATGTTTTGGTAGTTCCAGGTAGAAAGGAATGAAGTGATGACAGTGGTATGACTCATTTAAAAGTGAGGCTTATTGAGGCTTTTCCTATCTGCTATTATTGTCCATAAAAATGTATTCTAAAATACACAGTTCAATTTTTTCCCATATATGACATCTCTATTTCCCCTTTGAATTTGCAATATTAGGTTTTTAACCTCTGTGCTAAGCTAAAGATCCCTGTACATTCAAGTGTCCTCTGTGTAACACATCAGATGAGTCATACTTCAGTAGATTTTTACACAGGTGACTTGACCGTCACAGCAGTGTTCAGCAGGAAACCTGACTAAAAATTTGGGTTGTGGTGAGGGTTAGTTCTGTATTTTAATATGGTGAATATTCTTTCATCAAAGTTGTATGGCAGTGTATTTTGGAAACAGAAGGGAAAACATTCTTGGAAACAGGCTGAAGCACACTTCTATTATGATGAATACAGGAAGGGGTGAAAAAAACCCAAGTAGCACTGAATAAAAACTATTGAGTATGAACTTCAGGTGAGTTCTTCCAGCTTTTTTATTTACTTGCACACATGCTGAATGCGTATCCTTCTACCAGATGGAATCTCAGTGAATAATAGATTGTCTTCTCTGTTGACCCAAGTCATGAAAACCACCAGCAGTTATCAGGCTTGTATCGAATTAGCTTGCACTGTCTTCTTTCTTTCCAGGGTTCACCAGGGGAACGTGGAGCAGCGGGCACTGCTGGGCCAATTGGTCTACCAGGTCGTCCTGGACCTCAGGGTCCTCCAGGCCCTGCAGGAGAGAAGGGTGCTCCTGTAAGTAATCACAGAGTCACATAAAACTATTACAGCACAGACATTTCATTTCAGGATGTTGCTCTTACCCACTCCAGTATTTGCCTGTTAAACATATCCTCAGAATACCTGATCTAGTCCTTTTACATTTACAATTAAGTAAATAGTAAAATGTTTATTGTCCTAACCTGTAACACCCAGGCAGGGTTAAGCCTGTTATTATCACAGCAGGGAATGGATATAAAAGTCTGTGAAATCATTCTTTCATTAAAACTTTGTACCCAGCCACTCTGTATTAGTGTAGACGTGTATTTGTCATTGGCTTCCGTTATTATTTAGTATCATTTTCTGATGCATTCTCTTCCTGTTACAGTTTCCTTTCTGTTTCTCTTTTCCTAATATTTTTTAGTGGTAGTACGACTTCCTGTACTGAAATCTCCATTACTCTCCTGTGATAATGGTGGATCACTTCTTTTTCTTGAAAACCAGGGTGAAAAAGGTCCTCAAGGTCCCGCTGGGCGTGATGGAGTACAGGGTCCCGTTGGACTTCCTGGTCCTGCCGGTCCTAGTGGTTCTCCTGGAGAAGATGGTGACAAGGTGAATCATTAGAATTTGTATTAGTGCATCTGTGAGATCTGTCAGTAAAGTTCTCTGTAGCTTTTCTCACCGTAAATACAACAACGAAACAACTCTTAACCCTGCCTCCCCCAGACTCCTTCTGCCTACTGCAAAAAAAATGAAAAACCCTTCTATAATCAGATGCCTGAGGAGCAGATGCCATGGGACACTGGGATTTGTGTTCAAGACTAACATTTATCCTGGCAAAGAAACAAGGATGAAAGTGTGGCAAAACAAATCAAGGCAGATGATGACAAAATTAATTCTTAATTATTTTAGAAACTTTATTTGCTGAATGAGTAAAATAAAATATGAGTAAAATAAAATAGTCTCAGTAGCATATAGTGATTTGGAATCACTGAATAGGTTGAGGGTATCAATATAATATGTTCACAGCAGAGATATTCTGCTGACTTCTGGCAGAATTTAGGATATAGCACCTTTCAGGATCATCTTGCATGTTTGTTCAGTCCTGCACTGTTCTGTTAGCATAAGGTAAAGGTAATGATTTTGAGGTTCATTTTTATGATGTATGTGTGTTATTTATCCCACAGAGAGTATTTTCTGTGATTTAATTATCTTTTAGTATTGTATAAAGAAAACATATTTTTCCTGGTGATTTGAATAATTTTGAAGTTTTGAAATACTGTACACTTCAGTGAGAAGTAGTTGTTCGGTCGCATACAGTTAGATGAGTCTGTAAATCAGGGTGCTTTCATTATAAGTTCATACTGAAGGTGACATCAATTTCCTTTATTTAGAGCTCAGTAGGACTATACTTCAAAGCCAGGTCTTGTTGCCCTTTGAATATAGCAATCAATACCTGGATTAATATGACATGCTATTGATCGATGACGAATTGCCCCCTTTAGACCTTCACACTTAAAGCAGCAGCATAAAACACAGAAGAATCATACCAAAGGGGACATTTAAAGATACTGTTACATTGACTTCAGCTAGGTGTGAAGGAGACCATTTTAAACAAGAAGTTTAATTTTTAACTTTCCATTACAGGGTGAAATTGGTGAACCAGGTCAGAAAGGTAGTAAAGGCGACAAGGGAGAAAACGTGAGTAGCGAAATCCTGCATCTGTTACGTTCTTCATAAATAGAAAGTATTCATGCATGAAGTATACAGGTAGTCTTGCTACATCACTAAATAGAAACAAAGACACACTTCAAAAACGTGTCTTCAAAATAAGGTGAATTTTTAATGAAACACTAGAGGTTTTTAGTCCTAGAGCCATGCCTGTATTTAGTATTTCTCGCATTCCTTGACCTTACAGAATCATTAAAATATAGCTAGGTAAAATACATTCCTTCCTATATAATTTTAATTCATCCATTCTGCATGCGAACTGGAAGAGACAAGGAATACACATACATTCTTTTACTGCGATTAAGTTAACTTCACTGACTGGATTGTGTGAACATGCCCAGCTTTAGCTTCTTAGGCATAATGATGAAGAATATGAAGACTCAGTAGAGGAACCTACTAATAGAGTTTTAAAATTTGTAAAGAATACCTAATTCGTAGAAAGCACACTTAACTGTTTGCAACATTTCACGACCTCAGATGAAATTCAAAATTACTTCGAAAGTTCAAGCACTGCCTCTATTAATTGAAGCCAGAAAGATACAAATCAGCTTTTTGTACTGTAAAATTTTAAGCGAGAAAGAATAAAACAAGGCACTTTTTTTCTATTTGATTTTTTTTCTTTCCCAAAAAGTCAGAAAAGGTTTGTTTTTACTTCTCTTCAATTTCAAGATAAACTGGCATTTTAGTTCAGTAATTTTCCATAAGAAATAATGCAGGAGTAATTGCAGAAAGATTATTTTTATTATTACTATATTTCATCAATATTCACATTTAGCAAAGCTCAGAGTTCAATATTGGGGTATTCATATCTAAGCATATTTATTGTCTTGAAAACACTGTGTGGTTATTATCATTAATGACTTAGTATCATAAAAGTAGATTGCTTCTAAAAACAAAATTTATGGCTTACACATAATCAGATGATGTTCTATAGGAGGATACATAAAAATTCAAGCTAATTGCAGGTTTAAGATAATTTCATAGAAAAAAAATGTTAATAGAATATGCAAAAAAAAGACAAGCTTTTTTATTTTTAAAGATAAGCTTTTTCATTCCAGTTGTTTATATGAGAGACTTTTACAGTTGCCAGTGCAGAATCCACGTACTTTTCACAACCTTATTTCATTAGATCAGATCACAAGTGCTATAATAAATTATTTGTTATGCCCTATTAACACAAATAATGTAATATTATATATATGGATGAGAGAACACTTCTGTTATAAACCCCAGTTTTCCAAGGAACATACGTATGACCAAGTCTGAAACAACTTCCAGTCCAGACTAAAATTGCTCCAGCACCTGGGCCAGGTCACCCAGCACACCCAAGCACACCTAAAGGCTGGGGGAGACTGGATGGAGCAGCCCTGAGGAGAAGGACTTGGGGGTGCTGTGTGAGGAGAAGCTGCCCACGACCCAGCTTCACTGTGCACTTGAGACCAGAACCCCCACATGTGCTGGGCTGCACCCCCAGAGCGTGAGCAGGAGCTCAGGGAGGGGAGCCTGCCCCTCTGCTGCACTCTGGGGAGACTCCACGTGGAGAAATGCATTCAGCTCTGGGGCCTGCAACACCAGAGGGATATGGAGCTTCTGGAGTGAGTCCAGGGGAGGCCACAGAGCTGCTGCGAGGGCTGGAGCAGCTCTGCTCTGGAGCCAGGCTGAGAGAGCTGGGCTGGTTCAGCCTGGAGAAGACTCCTTAAGGGAAGTCCTTAGAGCAGCTCCAGTGCCTAAAGGGGGCCTATATCTGGATAGGGAATTTTGACAAGGGCACGTAAGGATACGGTAAGAGGGAATGACTTTAAGCTTTTGAAGGATAGATCTAGATTAGACATTGGGCAGAAGCTCTTCCATGTGAGGGTGCTGAGGCGCTGGCACAGTGTGCCCAGAAAGGCTGTGGCTACCCCATCCCTGGCAGTGTTCAAGGCCATGTTGGACACAGGGGCTTGGAGCAACCTGCTCTAGTGGAAGGTGTCCCTACCCATGGCAGGGGATTGGAGCTGATGAGCTTTAAGGCCTCTTCCAGCCTAAACCATTCTGTGATTCTATGATATTCTGATCTTGAATGCTTTGGTTAACTTGGTAAAATTAATTTATCAAATTAAGACATTTTAGAAGTTAGTTTTAAAGCTGTGGACTTTTTCCCAGTTAGCTGAAAATCAGTCTTAATCTATTTGCTCTTATAGTTGTAAACCAGCTGTGGGATGCATAAAGATACATTCAGCTCCTCCCTGTCCATCTAAAGAGGTTCATTAACAGTAGAGGCCCTATGTACATGATAACTTCTGGTGTTTAAAGGAAAGGGCAGAAGAAGCATATGAAGCAGGTCGTGGTCCAGTTTCACTTCGGGCTTTTCATGTGATCAAATGCATATCCTTTTATTTTTCCCTCTGACATGCCTCTTCGTTTGAGATGCTTCTGCATTAGAGAAATGGAGAAGAAACACATGCTGCACTTTCCTCTTTCAGACTATTTTAGCAGACCAGCTAGTTATACTGAGCGTTAGACTGTGACTACAATTCCCATCATGAGTACTAATTCATTTGGGCATGTTCCAGCAGATCTGCTGTCATGGCTTAAGCCCAGCCAGTAACTCAGAACCATGCAGCTGCTCACTCCCTCCCTCCCCTCTTTCCCCTTCTGCTCTTGGTGGCATGGGGAGGAGAATCAAAAAAATGTAAACGTCACAGGCTGAGATAAGTCCAATAACTAAATAATTTCTAGTAACAGTCCAATAACTAAAGTGTAATACAAAACCGGTACTACTACTACTAGTAAGGGAAATAACAAAGGGAGAGATTACAAAACTAAAAGGGGAAAGGAAAAAAAAAAACAATAAACACAAGTGATGCCTAATACAACTGCTCACCACGCGCCAGCTGATACCCAGCCCAACTCGAGCAACGATCTGGGCCTTCTGGGTAACTCCCCCCAGTTTCTATACTGGACATGACGTGCTGTGGTATGCAATACCTCTTTGGCTAGTTTGGTCAGGTGTCCTGTGTCTGCTTCCTTCCGGCTTCCCATGCCCCTCCTCATGGCAGAGCATGAGACTGAAAAGGCCTTGGCTGGGGTAAGTGCTACTGAGCAACAACTAAAACATCAGTGGGTTGTCAGCGTTGTTTTCAGACTAAAGCTGAAACACAGCACTGCACCAGCTACTAAGAAGGAGAAAAATAACGGTTACAGTTGAACTTGGGTGATCTGCTTTACAGGTAAAGTGTCTGCAGCAAAATCCTTTCGAGAGGATATCCTGTATTTTGAGTCTCAAGGTCTGAGGCATTTGGAAATATAATGTTTTTCTTAAAATACAGGATTCAGTGTTCAGGCCTGCTTAGTTGAAGTGAATGTTACCTCATTTCAAGTCAAGTGTATTGAACCTTGTTTGTCCTCAATTAGAGTAATTTAACCCTGGCAATTCCAGAATGTGTTTATTTCAAATCTCCTTTCCTTTAAACATGCTGATAGATATTGGGGTAGGGAGAAAGGCCTCTGGAAGATTCTGAAGAAAAAGGACAGCACAATTTTATTGTTGATATACATTCTATCCTGAGTTTTAAAACCTCCACAGTCACAGGAGCCTTCATTAGCTAAATAGTCTCTCCTGATGATTCTGATCATTCCCCCTCCATTTGCCTTCCACAGTAATGGACAAAAAGAGTCTAGCCATGTCTCCAAATAACTTCTTATTAATCAATTGCAAAGTACCTTTCAGTGATACTTTATATCAAAATGAGTATTTAAATGTGATTAAAAATGTGTAGATCTCTTTCTGGGTCCTGAAAAATAAAGGAGCAGGTAGAAGCATTCTGCAGAGTGTAGGAATATTCTGTTCTGATTTTGCTAATTCCCATTCTCATGGTA